ACCGCGAGGCATAGGCGGTGGCCCACGTCGTCCATGCCTTACACCGCCCTTAATCATAGAAATGATGTAATTTGAATATAAATTATTTATAAATACTTATGTCAAGTTATATTTTTATTACTACATAAAATATATTAAGAGTTTATGACCACTGTGCTGGGTGAGACGTTGTTGAAACAAAAAAAGTTATGCATTCCATCACGTACATAAACAGTGTCGTAATTCGCCAAGTGCAAATCAGCAAATTCGTAAATTTTTGTTTATTTTGAACAATCCGGATAATCGAAAATCCGGATAATGGAGGTTCTACTGTAATATAATAATCTTCTTATTTATTTCATTTCCTTCCGAGAGATGGCGCTAACAAAAATTCATTCGTTTTCGTCATAATAGAACACGTGTCCTGTATTATCTGTAGTATTTGTATAGGGTAAGTCACTAAAAACAGATGTAACTGATCTCTTACGTTAGTTATAATGGAGTTCTGCTATATAAATACAATTAATTAGTGACTCACCATTTCATGGACCAAGGAGAACTTAAAATGATTCTTTCCTTTTTCTTTTTCTTCGACATCGCATTCAAATTTTAAAGCTGTTTGCGCACGTGTCACGGTAGAAAAACAAATGTAAATACGCGAAAACACAGGAGCACGTGGTATTTCGTATCGGCCGCCATGTTTTTAAAAAACTGATGTTGCCAGATTCAGAGAGAATTCGGCCTTCGAATAAATTTTTTTTTTTAGAACATATTTCTTCCTTTCGAGTATAAAATATTTACTTTCACTATATTTTTATATATCGTAGCTTTGACGAAATATAACTTTTGTCAAATTACAAATTTTTAAACTCAATATATTAGTGAATAGTACGCACGTTGCCAACTCAGTGGTTTTTTTTCTCCCCTAAATTTGGGGGGAATCAGCAGGATGTGGGAAAATATGGGAGGATAAATCGTTTATGAGGAAAATGTAATCTGCCCATATTGGTTAGTGGAGTTTCAGTTATTTTATATGAATTGCACTTGGAGTAAAACTATTTAGGGGGAATTTGTTTCAGTTATTACAGGGAACTCTGTTAAGTTTTTATAACTGTTTTCGCCGCCACCATTGAATAATTTGTAACGTTTTGCATGCCGATGCGGAGAAGTAGCCGCCAGATAAAGGTCATCGGAATTCTCCACCTTTTCTAATCGAATCGTTTTTCGAACTTTTGCAAACATTTAAACGAAAGTAATTTGTGTTTGAAAACACTGCCGAATCCCACAAGGACTTAATCGGGGCTCCTGCCCATAAGGTTTCTATATCTCCGTCTTTCATCTTTCTAACTCCGTTCTTGAGATTAAGAAAAGACGGACGGACGATAATGGAAATTACATAAATTCCCACTATAACTTCTGAATAGGGTCAGTTACCCTTAAAAAGACCTGTCAGAATGCATTATTCCCCGCGTACCA